TCGCAACTTTGCGAATTTTTCAAAACTGTATATTGAAAATTTTTGCAAATTGCCAGATAGTACCGTATAGTCAAATCCCATTATTTTTACAATTTTATAACTGTTTATCTATTGAATATTTGAAGTTAATTATCTCAGTGTCATACATTTTTAGATTAGTAGATTCGTATTTTTTTTATCAAAAAAATTGGGAGTTTAAAGTTTGAAGACCTTCCTTGTTAGAAAGGTATTTATGTGTTATCCCTTTGACTGTAAAAGTGTAAAATGGTCACCGAACAGCATGATTTAGTGCCAGTTACGGATAAATGGGATGTAACAAGACACTCATAACAGCCGTGCTTTCATATGCTGTAACTCTGATTGGTTCTTGTTAAGCTGCTGTTTGTTTTTATGAACAAGGATATAAATTAACTGCTATTGCTGTATTTTTTCTGACATTCAGAGATTAAATGTTAAAATTTGGTACCTTTGTACTACAGAGCAGCAAGTATTATATAATGTTCAAAGTTATGGGGCCCTGTAATAAAAAATGTGCATATTAATGAACACAGTGTAATTATCTATATATGGCCAACAAAATAGTAATATTTTATAATGATTGCCTCTGCACTCATAGTGTTTTAAACAGAGCTTATGGTAAAATAAGAAAAATCTAACAAAATAGTCGATTGATGAAAGTTTTTTTGGGAAGCTCAAAACAAAGTGAGTCAAATACTGATTGTTTGTTAAATAAAGTGACATCAGTTCCATCAGAATTCTGCTGGAACAATTGGCATAACTTTGGCGAGATCTATGCCAGCTTGCACAGTTGACTGGCTAATACATTAGTACTGCGAAAAGTTACTTGGTAGTTGGATTTGGCCCTCTTCACAAGGGTGCCCATCATCGTAAGTATGTTGCTGCACCTGTGTGCAGTTTGACCTTTTGTTATAAAAGACAAAACTCTATAATAGCACACTAACACAAACATACATGTACCCTTATGAAGGTGTTTCTAATTTGAAAAAGCAACCTTCATAAAGGTTCAGCCAGGGCACTCTTATTCAGACCTTTTGTTTGCATTACTGATTAATCAAGCAGGGCATGAAAAAATGTCTTACACCTTTATGAAAAACAGGTACTTAGTGTAAGGGTGCCTGCAGCTTTATGAAAAGCACTGAATTGTCATAAAAATGTCTGATTGAAAAATGGTGGATTTGCATAAGGATGGCTGACATTTTTGTCAATTGGAGCAATTTTTCAAGTTGTTCTGAGAAGGAGACTGAGGTATTTTGATAAATTGAAACTTATTTTCCTCGAAATGACAAACTACCTTAAGCATGAGTGGTGCAAAGGCTGCACGCAGTTTTTTTTTTTTTTTAATTATTTTACTTATTTTACTTTTTGACCTTGAAGGAAGATAAACCGTAAATTTAATACAGTAGTTTATACCATCTTCTTGATCTTCAGTACTTTATCAAATTAAAATTTTTTTATATATTTTATGTCATTGTGTAGGTATTCTAGTTTATTATTATGATTAAAGTTTAATTTCTTTACTCTTAAGGGGGGGATAAAGGGTTTCCTGTAATGAATTAAGATGAGAGTACAAAGGGGTTTTTGCTTCCCACCCCTGCCTTTTTAAATTTCTTTTCGTCAAATATGAAATCTGTTCCATTTGGGCCTTTCATCTCCAGTTCATAGTTTACAACAGGCATGCTTTTGAAATGGAAATAAGAAGTATTTGTAAATTACGTGTATTTAGAAATCTATTTCCTTCGTTTATTGTTTTGCCATCTCACATGAAATGAACTAATCTAATCTATTGTAATATTTTCTGCAATTTTGCAGACTGAAAATGCCCCTGATATTTATAATCTAATGGAGAGTAAATATAGGGATTTTTAGACTGCGTTCATATCCCCATTTTCTTGAAGGAATTTATGGCCAACATGTCATCATTTAGGAACTGTGAAACCACCTTTATTGCCTTGTCAAATCTGTTATAGAAAACATCATTGGATTAAAACATAGTCTCATGGTTTGGCATGGTTTTGAGTGTAAGGGTGCTATTTTTGGCTCGCTTTCACATGCTTTGCCTCCTGCTTCATTGATGAAAGATTAGTAGAATTCCATTTACTGATATGTTGTGGATAAAATTCGTACGGTGTTAATCTTCACTATAGTTTCAAGTTTAGTGACTTTGGGCAAACTATTTATTCAGTTACAGATAGAAAATGAAAATCAATAGAACACAGTAGCTTGATTCAGTACTGAATGAGGGAATTTGTCACCAATAATTTCCAAATGTTGCTAAGTTCATCTGTATTTTATTGTTGAAATTTGAGAAAGTGTACAAATACCTGGTATCAGCAGACATTTGATCGATCGGGTGTTCATTGTTCTGTTGTGTATGTATATGTGTGTGTGTGTGTGTATGTATGTGTAAAATAAGAAGTGTGTGTATGCATGTGTACGATAAAAAATATGCTGTAGAGGCATTAGGCATGTTGGAAGCAGGAAAGATGAAAAATGAGCAATCACCTTCGCCGGGAATTGAACCACGGACCTCTGGAATACCATCCCAGCTTGCAGAACCACTACACCACGAAGGCATGCTAGGGAGACAGGAGAAATACCTTATAATACAAGTAAAATATTAGTTTTAACTTATAATAGTCCCTTAATGTTTTTTAATTTGGTTATTTTTGCAACAGGCAAAATTTGCCTGTTTTCATTTTCCATATCAGCTTTAAACAGGGATGGCTCATAGTGCCTTCCGTCCATATATGGTGAGTGTGTAGTTGTATGCATATTTATGTTTTAATAAAGTTTCATTAAATATTGATTTTCTTAAAGATTGTTTCTTGAGGAAATATTGGAGTTTTCCTTACATTTTTCTCTTCTGGCCAAAATAGAAAACTTCAACTGTACAGACATTCACAACTACTTTACTAACAGTTTTCTTTTAAAATGGTCAGATGGATTAATATAAAATAACTGGTTGAGTGTGAAATGCTAATACGAGTTGCATGGAGCATCAAGTTTTTTATAGCTTTGCTGTTAAAAGATCGTTCCTATTGATGGTATTAATAAATGTGCTAGGATGAAAGATCTAAGATTGTTCCACATTTGTTTTGATATGACATTTATGTTACATAGCATCCCTTGACAACTTCACCTATAAATTTCATCACTCAATAGTAAATTAAGGAAAGAAGATGAGTTGAAAGTGAAAGTTTGTCTGCTGGTGGATGAATGAATAAAGTCTGCAAATGTCACCAGCAGTTGCTGGCGTTTCAGATTTTTTGCAAGGAAATATATCATAATAATTGTACGAGTTTTTTCTAAAAATAGTAACTGCTTATAATAAATTACATGTTCTAAAAATGGTGACTGTTTATAATAAATTGCTGTAAATTGCATCATTTGAAAATTAATTCATGTCGTACAATTCTTGCATAATGCTCATCGCACAGGCATTTATATAATGCTTGAAACAATAATAATACCAAATCAAAATGTAAAATTACCAATCAGCATCAAATCTGAACTGAAAACTAAATCATTGACACGACTTTTCATCTCGTACATATTGCATTTCCTCTCCGCTTCTCTATCTAGCTTGGTTGCTATCACTGCAACATTTTAAAAATGTAAAATTCTTCTGGAACAAGCTAAGGTCATAAATAAACTAAGGTGTGTGTGGCTGCATATGTCAACAATGAAAGAAACATTCAACCTGTAATTATATCTTTATGCATCTGCATATTTTCAACATCCAAATTATTTCATATACATATACAGTCAAAAGTCGTTAATTCGGACACCCATAATCCGGAATGATCTATAATCCGGACCTCAAAGCTAAAAACTTTCTGCGCATGCGCCGAGTTGACACATGCGCATAGGCGTTTACGCGTGCGCGTAAGACCTTTACGACTGCGCATAGGCGTGTGCGCAAGCGCAGAATGCGTTTTTGCGTGCGCGTTTAATGTATAACGGACGGTATAAGCTAAAATTATCAATGTTGATGATTGCGTTGTTCCTTAATCTTCGAATTGGATGCGGCTTATTATTTTTTGCAGACTTTAAGAGCAATGTTATAAAAGTAAACTTGAACTTTCGATTATGTCAAATAGAATTTCCGATGCTGGAGCTCCCAAAAGATCTACAAAACGAAAGTATGTTTCGATGTCCATCAAACAAAAAGTGGAATTGCTGCAAAAAATGGATAGAGACATAAAGAAGGTGACAGAGAGGTTAGTGAAAACGAAAAAATTTCGATTGACAAGTTAGTCGGTATTCTCGGCACAGCAATTACGGGACTTGAACAGCGGAACTTTGTAACTGAACAAGAAATTAGTCTGTTTATAGAATTAAAGAGAAAGTATTATCACATAAAACGAAGCAACTTAAACGACTTACATTGAAAGAAATGTTTAATAAATTAAACAAATAAATATTAAGCTTTTTTTTTTGTAAATTTTACCCTTTATATCATAATTGTTCTTTATTTCATAAATTCCCCTTTCATATTTTTAATTTTAGAATTTCTGCATGCCATCTTACGAGATTTAAACTGATGATCTATAATCCGGAAAAATCGATAATTCGGAATCGCCGAAGTCCCGACGAGTCCGGATTAACGACTTTTGACTGTATACTATAATAAAACCTAAAATTATATACTATAATAAATTACAGTAGTTAACTAGAATTTCTTAGAATTTCTATCATGATGGAGTTAGACATTTCAAACAAAGTAAAAAAAACTTTTAAATACAGGTCATCCATAAATAGAATGCTTGTTATGTTAAATTCAACAGACTGCAAGTGAAAGTAACACTTGGGAGGGGGGGTCATTCTATAGAAAATAAAATTTTAAAAAAATGCAGAATTAAAAAAAAATTTTTTTCTTACCTGTGTATATAATTTTCTACCTTATAAAAAGGCTTATATATAAAAAAAGTGTGGCTACCCAAACTTATATTTTCTCCCATTCTGCTTTTTGTTTATAGCATGCCAAGCAGTTTACTGCTGAAAGAATCAACAGGTCATGATACCACAACCTCATTTTCCATATCAGCTTTAAACAGGGATGGTACTTGTAGTGCCTTCAGTCCGTATAAGGTGAGTGTGTAGTTGTATGCATATTTATGTTCTAATAAAGTTTTATCAAGTATTGATTTTTTTAAAGACAGTTTCTTGAAGAAATATTGGAGGTGTCTTTACGTTTTTCTCTTCTGGTCAAAATAGAACACTTCTACTATACATACATTCACAACTACTTTATTAACAGTTCTTAAAATATGTAATTAAGATCTGGTGGATTAATATATAATAGTTCGGTGATTGTTAAATGGTAATATGAGTTGCATGGGGCATCAAGTTTTTTATAGCTTTGCTGTTAAAAGATCGTTCCTACTGATGGTATTAATAAGTGTGCTAGGATTAAAGGTCTAAGGTTTTTCCACATTTGTTTTGATATGACATTTATGTTATATAGCATCCCTTGACCACTTCACCTATAAATTTCATCATTGAATAGTAAATTAAGCAAAGAAGATGAGTTAAAAGTCAGAAAGTTTGTCTGTTGGTGAAGGAATGAATAAAGTCTGCAAATGTCAAAAGCAGTTGCTGGCATTTCAGATATTTTTGCAAGGAAATATAATAATTTTTTTATTGGGAGGTATGTAACTACTGTGTCCTCCAAAAATGAGTGAAGGATTAGAGATTTCAACACATTTAAAATTTTTGAAAGGCTTTTGCAAGTCATTAGCTGAAGCAGTGTCTTGAAAAACTGAAAAATTAGGATTAGAATGCATAAAAATGTGTGTCATCGAAGCCAAATAGTCGATATTGCTATATGTGCTAATTTCTGGAAATAAAAATAATTGCATATCATGGATTAGTATTGATAGTGCAATATTGTATTGATACTTCAAATTATTCTGAGTTTTAGTTAATAGTTTTAATTTGTTTTAATTATTGTTGGAAATAAAAATAAATGCATATCTGGGATTTGTATTGATATTGCAGTACTGAAATGATACTTTGAATTATTCTCAGTTTTAGTTAATAGTTTTAATTGATTAATATTTGAAGTGCATTAAGGGGGAGAAACAAATTACACCATTATAACATCAGCAGTTTTTCTAACTTACTACAGTAAGCTATTTTTTATTATTTACATAAAATGTTTTTAATTGGTGTAATCTAAGGTCCAGTTAAGTATCAAATTAGCAATACAAAATGAGCATACCTTACACAATGTAACTGTTTCCCCACCAGATATTCTAATATCTAGTATATCTTCATTGAATAAGCATTTGTTTCTGTTAAATTTGGTATTCTAATATCTAAAATATAATTAAGACACAATAACATGCTGAAAAAATACTAATTCAGGACGCTTATTCTATGATCACTGGATCTGTCTACAACTTAAGCGAACAATATTGACTCAAAAAAACCGGTATAGACAGCCATCACAACTTATCGGAGAAAGCCATTCTGTGGTCCTCAGTTGGACTAGCGTCTACATCCCAAAACGGCAGCCTATGAGAGAGGCGATTCTGTTATTTTCATCGGGGAGTAGGGAAGTTAGAATGGTTTTCTGAGGAACGCCAACGGCAGTGCACGATGTTTGCTTACATTAGGAAGTTCAGAAAATTGCAAAGGTGGATTGCCTTAGTTTCTGCGGTTACTTTCAGGAAAATATTAGGTAGTTTTTTTTTTTTTTTTGTTTTTTTTGTTTGCTGATAGAGGGCAAATAGATAATTCACCTTTATAAATCAACGTTTATCTGTTTAAAACTTCAGAAGATTTAATATGAAGTGATATATTTAACACAACAGAACGCAAGCTTAAGACTTGTAAATCTTTTAAAAAACAATACATCGATAATTAAAAATATTATTTATAGTTCATTATTAAAAACTTTTATAAATGCATAGTTATCATTAATTAACAATTCATTCATGCGTTATCCATCTCATTATTATTATAATTAGAAGAGAAGATATTTTTTACAGTAATGTTTAAAAAAAATTTGCTGTTGTCTTTTAAAAAGATTTACAAGTCTTAAGATTGTGTTCCATTGTGTTAAATATATTCGCTTCATCTTAAATCTTCTGAAGTTTAAATAGATAAAACGCAGATTATAAAGGTAAATTGTCTATTTGCCCTCTGTAAAGAAACCGAAAAAACTGCCTAATATTTCCCTGTAAGTAACTGTAGAAACTAGAGCAATCTACCTTAGCAATTTTTTGAACTTCCAAATGTAAGCGAACATATAGTCCACTGCCGTTGCATTCCTCAGAAAACCATTCTAACTCCCCTACTCCCCGATGAAAATAATAGAATCGCCTCTCTCATTGGCTGCCGTTTTGGGATGTAGACGCTAGTCTCAGTTGATGGGCGGGTGGGTCCATTTAACTTTACTGGAAGGGGACAAGGCTTCAAGGAGCTTTAGACCAATCGCAGTACAGACCGAGTGACGAAATTTATAGCGCGCGCTGGCTGAAGTTCTAGGAATATTCTCCTATTATTTCACTAACTCACACGCTGCATTTGTAGTTCGAAAAAATTGCACAAAACAGTATTATGACCAATACATGCTGAATATGCTGCTGTGTTATGTGAAAGAAAATCTCGTTTTTTTAATGGGAAAGTTTAACGCAGGAATTTAGAGCTAAAAATAAAGAGTGATATGGGATACCACGAAAGCAATGGTAAATAGATAAGAGTAAATGAATTAAGCTTACTTCAAATCCTTTTAGAAATAAACCATTTTAATTATTTAAATTTATAATATGATTAATTTGCATTACAATCTAATAGCAAACTAAGTTTTTTTTTTTTTTTTTTTTTTTTTTTTTTTTTTTTCATGTTTACATTAAAACTTTTTTCCCGCAATTTATTTTTACAGTTACTATTTGAAAAATATTCTTTAAATAAGAAATTAGAAAGAAAATATTTCTTTCTTAATATTTCTTCCCTTTTTTTATTTTCTTTTTCTATGAAAATTATTTCTTTCAGGAAAAGAAATAAAATTCATTCGCTATTACAGTATGGCCGATTGCTGCTGCATTCAGTTATCAGACACGCATCAAAATGCTTTATTTTAAATATTTTATTCTATAATTAACATGAAAGAAAATATTTTTTCAATATAAATATATAACCAAAATTAAATTAATCTATCCTGTATGTGTGATTAATTAGTTTTGCAATTTTTGTCACACAATTACTAATATCTTTTTTTTCAATATTACATTGCTGTTATTTTAATTTTGTATATATATAAGAACTGCTCAGTTTAATTATTCTTCCTTCTCAAAAGATTTTGTTCTGTGAAAATAATTAAAAGATAGTAATATATTTCACAATGGAAGTACTAAAGTAAAAATAATCAGTGTAGGTCTCCTGCAGTTCAAGTTCCTTTTCAAACCAGCGTTTCGACACATTTTAAATAGAAAACTAATAATAATCAATATCTCTTTTAATATCAAAATGAGAATGCTATGAACAGTATTTTTATTATTTATATTTATTTATTTATTTATTTATTTTATTATTTTTTTTTTTTTTAAGTTTGCAAAGAAAACAATGATTTTTTTAATACTATAATAGGTTACAAAAGTACTATTCCATGAACAAACCCTCAGTCTTATAGCATTGTTACTTTTATAGCATAATACAATATAATACAGTATAATTCTGCTAACAAGCCCACCAGCCGCCGAGCGGTAGAGTCGCTGAACGCAGGTAATTTGGTCCGAGGGTTCGAATCCCGCGAACGAGCTGGCCGGCGTTTTCGTGGGCTTTCCCCCATGTGTAACGTGTATACGAGCCAGTTTCCCTTAGAAAGTCCTCACTTAAAAACCAGTTTTAAAACGTATTAAAATTACACACACCACACACCACAAAAAAAAAAAAAAAAAAAAAAAAAAAAAATTATGAAAGCCTTCAGATTTTATATTACTCCCAAAGGGCCATTTTTTTTAACGTTTTACGTGTTACCTTTATTTATTAAATATCATGTTGTTTTCGCACTTAAACCATAAAATTCAAGTTCAACAGCAATATCGCATAAGTAGTTTTAAAAAAAGCATATCTTTAGAATTTCCGATACACTAGTCTCACGCGTGCTAGAGATGAATTTTTTGTTTTTTTGCTTACATTTGTATTTGCTCGCTTTTGAAATCGTTGGGTTTGTTAATCAAAAACTCATAATGCTTTACAAAATATGATATATGAAATGAATAGTAATACAAATTCCCAGTTAAAATTTGGCTCTCCAGATGCCTCTATTAGGATGGAGGATTACGTTATTCAGAATTTCATGGCTCTAGGTACCGTTGTTTTATCACAGTGCGAGAAACATTCATGCATTCTGCAGATTCCTCATTATTTAATTTCTTTAAATATAATAGAGTGCGATAATACTTGGTGGCAACGATTTGAAAAGTGAAACGCCACAAAATGGCAAAACGAAATTAATAGCCCCTCTGGGCTAAAACTTATTTTTAAAAGTATCACACTAATAGTAGTACAATTACTGAAAAAAATATTATAAATCTATTTTATAGTTTTATAATTATTATTTTTTTTCTTTTTAAATTTTATTTTACAGTAGTGTGAATTTCGCGTAATAATGAACGACATTTTTGTGTTCACAGTATTATTCGTAAGGTATTCAACTGTTAGATTTTAAAGTAAACGTAATTCTTGCTGTACATAAATCGAGTAGAAGCTTATATCGGATGTCTATATTGTATTAAATGAAGAAAGTTTTATGTGCTTGATAAACTTATTATCTTTTACATTTTTAAAGCGTACAATTACAATTTATATCTATAATTTCAGGAATAGTATAACCTTTCTTTTAGTAGAAATTGCGTTCTTGTTTTCTGAATGTGGCTCCAAGTACTCTCTCAGTTCACCCCAAATTAAAATAACTATAAATTTTGGGAATCTGAAATACGCAATGAAAACATCTTTTGGCAGAGCAAAAGCATCAACATATTTTCTATAAATTCGCCACCGATTCAGAGATCTACGACCGTATTCTTCGTTTAAATATGAAAAAATCAGCGGCGAAAACGCATACAAAGTCATTGTCTACT